AAAAAGATTTTTTACATCTTCAGAAAACAAAAGCCTAAAAATACTTGGGTAGGTAGATTGGCAAAAGTAAGGCCTCCCATGAAATCCATTGAAATTAGTGGAAATATTTCTATTGACCTCTCTGGGGTTTGGATTAGCTCTTTAACGCTTCTGCAATAATTATTTTTTAACACAGTCATTCTTGGAAAATTATTGCTGTGATTCACTGGTTCTTTGCTCGACACATGGAGTTAGTGATTGACATTGTGCTACTGCGCTTGGTACTAAGGCTAAAACAGTATGGTTTCTTTGGTATGTGTAGAGAGAAGTAATAACTACTGCACGCTATGTCTCAACATAATCTTTGCTGTCATGTATCATGCCTTGCCTACCATCAATCCGTGTTACAAAACCAGTGGTCCAACCCGTGTTTACAGAATCAGCTCAGGTCGGCTTTTCACTTACCAGTAGTGATTTACAAAGAAGCTGAAAATAGTTGGGGCTCTTATTTCTAGTCTCAACATGTTTTGCTGTGAAAATGACCAAACATGGGATCAGTTCAAGTTTCCCAGCTTTATGCTGATGTGTCATTTGCTTTAGAAGTTTGGGTACCCTGGGGTGCTAAACCAGGATCGCAAGCTTTTCTGTCCAACGTTACTTTTTTAGTACTGGTTTCAATTGTATAGCTCCAAGTTCTAGGTGTCAACAACTACACTTTTGCATCCCTGCATCTTAATGTTTTCAAGTTTTGTATCTGAAGGGTACACTTTAGGACATGTCAAAACAAGTACCAAGTATTTGTTGACATTTTATCTCCAGCTTTCCCATATTTTCGGATCTGATACCTGGCTACTTCACACCTGAGCACATGTATCCATCCTGTTTTCTTTTAACCATCCCTGTTGTTGCACAACTGTGCCGTCCTGCCTCCTCTTGCATCACAATAATGCCACAACAGAGTCGGTTTGGAGAGACAAAAGACTTCAGAGAGATCAGACCCCTATCTGTATCAGGTAGACGAGTGCAGTCTGTGCAGCATTCAGATTGTGGACAGATAGTCAAGGCCAGACTTTCAAAGGTGCTGAGCTTACTTGCATATTTGCAACAGAGGTGTGGCAAATTTACTGATAAGCACTAACCTAAGACGTGCTTGTTTTGGTTGGATCACCTTAATTGTCCTGCACACATTTTGGTGTCTTGCTTATTTTCTCATAAATTTGTTGTCCACCTCCATCCTACAGCTCTCATGTCCCATCGTCTCGACATTTCCTTTCTCAAAGGACTATGCCAAAGGGAGTGTCTGATGATCCCCATCTACCGTAGCTACGATTAACTGCCACACTCACCATGCCCAAGAGTTACTTTGCACCAGCAGATTTTGAGCCATGTGTTAAATTAGGTCATAATTTGGCTACAGTGGTTGTGCCTCCAAAATGCGATGCCACCTCTAGAAATGAGGAGCGGCACACATTTACACATGCATCACCTGTGAGTGACTTTGGATTGTTTCTTTAGGAGAGGAAATCCACTGTTTTCCCACAGCTAAGGCACACAGTCTGCTTCATAGCAGAATTATTTTTCAAGGGTGTTCTTCCCTTTCATATTTTACAACCTTTGGTTGCACATCCAGAGCTTTGGCTTCCTCTCCAAGCAGCTGCCTTGCCAAGGCATTTGAATTGTGACAGTTTCTGAGCTGGAATTTCCAATGTTTGAAATCAGGAACTGGGCTAAAACCATTCACCAAAAGCCTCTGGGTAGTAGTGATTTGTAAGAACTGTGAACCTGGGACAAACATGAATTCAAGTTCTTTGGGCAGAAGGGCTAGTAAGTATACCCAGCAAATATTCATATTGCTTGATGACTTTTAAAGGAGCTTTTAACACATAATGGCTGACAAACAGCTGAGATTAAGTCCTTCAAGAATGACCAAAAGGTTCTCATTATGGTATGTTATGACAATAGGGATCATGGATTTTATAGATCCAATGGAGAAACTACAGTTGTATTCAAAGAGCTGTAGCAATTCTCTTAACTGTTTTGGTGAACACTTAAAATACCACTATCTGCCCCCCCTCTTTAAAAAAAAACAAAACCCACACACTAAAAAACACTCCCCCCTTTCAAACTCCTCAGGTAATTAATTGGAAACTACCCAGTTGCAGTATTGTCAAATGTCTGACTGACACCTATCAAACTCGGGAAACTCAGCCTTCTCGAGCGCTCCCTTGCTTACCTCGTGCTGTTGTGCTTATGGTATTTGTATACTGGGGTCTACAAAAAGTGCGCGATCATATATACTGTACCATATGTTCACAAATACCAACGCACAGCAGCATGAATTAAGGATAGGATTTCAGCCTTCATAGTGAAGAGTCTTGCTTTTATGAGTTCAAGTCAGACCCTTAACGTTATTTTAACGTAGATTTTGCTGTTTAATTATGTAATAAGATTTACTGCAGTCATCTAACAGATGTTGATTCAGGGTCAGTGTTTCTCATAAATTAGTTCTGAAAGGATTTGTTACTTCTGGGTCAGCAGATAGGTCCAGAGTGCAAAGAAAAAGGGGAAAAACAATAAACACTGAGTTGAAGGGTTTCTTGGGATTCTTTCTTCAGTTACATATCCACATATTTTCATGATCTTAATGACTATAGCCACAGGAATGTTTGCTTTAACACTAAAGATGGCTCAGGCCAAAACCCTATATCCAAACATCTGCAAAGCATGGGAAAGTTCAAACTTCAGGGCTCTTTATTTTATGACCCTGGCCGTTAATTTTTCTTACTAATATGACACATTTTTTCTAGGGCTCTGCAGTGGGAATCACTGTGAACTCTAGCAGCACCCGAAAAAGTTTCATCTTCAGGTGTTTGTTGTCAGACTTTGTGTATGAAGTGCGGCTAAAGACCAGTGTTGGCCGATGTAGTTGTCATCACATATGTACACTGAAAAGATGCAACCACCTTCCTTTGAAAATTCAGCCTTCCTGTGTCTTTGGAAGCAAATCATGTTGGTACATCCTACTGCTAGACCTCTATATAATACACCCTGCTGGTGATGTTATCCGTAATATAACTAAAACCACACAACATTATATTCATTCTTCTATAGTTGTGGTTAAAGGAGCTATTCCATATTAAAATATTTTTTCCTCCCCTCTATAATTTAGGTGCAGACAAATTCCTTTGAGACTGAAATCATACTCCTTGTATCTTATTCTGCTGAGAATACTTTGGAGGAAAGGGATTGAGGCACGTTTAATAGTGTTCTAGCACTTACAGGGCAGTTTTAGCCTGCCAAGTGTTTTACAAACACTGGTGAATATTCACAATATTCCCCCACTTCAGGGTATGAGAGACTGAGTGATCTTCCTGAGGCTGTGCGAGATGTTATAGCTAGAGGTGCAACTGTAACTTTGTTCATTCAGTGCACGCTAAGACTGCTCAACCTATAAAACCATTTGCTGAACTTAATGGCCCTTGTCTTGGAAAGTTTAGGGGTTTCGTACCTAAAAAACTCCTCTAAGATGAATCCCAGCTATTAGTAAGAGCTCTGAAGTATTTCCCTGAACAGCAATCATACAGTGGCAAACTGTGAGCCCTGGACTCCTTGCAGAAGCAATGTGCGAGAGGAAGAAGAGCCCGTGGCCAGCTGCTGAATCTTGGCCAGCAAAGCAGCGCTTGAACCTGCTCTGTGTAAGCGCTTGGACACAGCCCGGTTCCTGGAGGCTCCCCACACTCCGTCCCTGCCACAGGGGAGGCCCTCGCGAGTGCTGATATACATCTGTACCGTGCAGTGCTGTAAATTTAAATAGCACGTTCCAGATTCAGGCTTGAAACTCCTCTTTTTCAGGAGTAATTCCATTTAAGTCAATGGATTTACACAATGGATTTACTGCTGCCAGAAGAGAATCAGGCCTGTAGAAAGACACACATTCTTTGCCAAGAAAATCTCAGAGCTAACTACTTGAATTGTGCAGTCGAGCTGCAGGGAGGTCAAGTGGACAGACGATGGGACTGGGACATACGGGAAGTCCCTGGTTCAAATCTCAGCTCTTAAAATGTCGTGCAGTGTGACATCTGGCGAGTCAGTTCATCCCTTGTATCTCTGTTTCCCCATTTTCCTTTGTCCGACTTGTCTATTTAATTTGGAATTTGTTCCAAGAAGGGTGCTTCACTTCATGTGCTGGGGTGGGGCACTGACACCTCTCCTCCCCCTTGCTAGAGGACAGTCTCGAAATCTTTGTTTCTTCACATCACTGACCCTCAGCTTCAATATCCACAAGCAGTGTTACACGAGACCATCAGCTGTCCATCAGAAGGCAGGCAGACCTGTCACTCGGTGGGAAAACGCACCATCCTAACACTGTTTTGGGAGGACTCTGGCACTTTGTGTTATTTCATGGTCAGGGTTGGGAGTTGGAAGAAGGTCCTCGTTTTGAACATTTGCTTCACAGCTCTGATCACTACAGATGCTTTAAAATGAAAGCTTTGACCCTTTGCGGGGCTGTGAGTTTGTGATGAATTCAGCTGGCACTGAATGTGGGTCACTGGCATGAAAAGCCTCAAGGACTGGAATTTGTGTATATATGTGTGCGGGTAGGCATGTGTGCATGTGTAATTTTCAGAAGCAGAGTCAGGCCAAGAACCAGCACTCCTGAAAAGCCCCATCTGTTTCTTTCAGCTCCTTCCCACAGCAGCTTGGTCGTTATCGGTGGCAAATGTCCAGAGTCACTTGTCAAGCATGAAGCTGCCAAAAATCATTAAAACACAACGGTCACCCACACCCTGTACCAGCCAGCTGTAAAACTGTTTCAAAGAGAGTCTGATAAACACATATATGCGTATAATAGCCCAGATAGAGTCATGTATTTCCTACGTGCTTTAATGAACCGAACAACAGCATGAGATGCTGCAATCAGATATTCTTGCCCTTTTCTGTTGTGGCAACTCACAAGCTTGTTTGATGGCGAGGGGAAAGGGAACAAAGCAGGTGGCTAATGGGCTGTTTTTCTGTTTCAGTGGAGCATGACAGAGAGTTTCACCATCAGCGCTGCCACTACCGAGAGTTCAGGTTTGATCTCTCCAGAATCCCGGAGGGGGAAGCGGTGACGGCTGCTGAGTTCAGGATATATAAGGATTACATCCGCGAACGCTTCGATAACGAAACGTTCCAGATTAGTGTCTACCAGGTACTCCAGGAGCACCCGGGAAGGTGAGTGACCCACAGGCAAATCCCGATGAACGTGCAAGCACAGTATGTTCCTTCAAAAAGTTATGTCCAATATTTTTAGTAATACTGGTGCCATCAAACATGTTTGAAGAGCTGGGCTTAGGCATCAGGGTTGTACAGTGAAGTCTCAGTCGATGCTAATGCAGTGGGCACGTAGCTGCCATGTCTGGTCAGCCACCGAAGGCATGGGGAGAAGGTGCCCTGTGAGCCTCCACGTGCCCCCAGGAGCATCCCCAGCGCTGTCACTCTTGTCCCTGGGAGCAGCCGGTAGCTGAGCAGCAAACAAGCCTGGCTGTGTGCTAGTGCAGGAAAAGATCATAAACTCAGAGTATTTCAAGATTTCTGGAAGATCTTCCCTCTTCCTCCTGCCGCTTATGGATCCTGAGGTGGCAAACCCACATCCGAATGCTTCCTTACCAATTGTAGCTTAATTACTAGCCTTTATTACCGAAGGCATTCGAGATCCCTAATTAACAAAGACAGATGACACCATGCTTTTTATATTGACTGATTGTTTTGTGTGTGCAAAACTACAAGATGAGCTATTAAATCCATTCCAAGCAATTATTAATGTGTACCAAGCTCCCTGACAAATCCTCCAGGGAACTTGAGTAAGAACATATGTTCAATTTTCTCATCTGTTTTTAGTTCCAATTAATCAGCAATCCCAAACCATTTATCAAAGGCACTTAATTTCATTTGCACATATTTCTTTTACATACAAATCCTACCAAAAGTGAGATTGCATTTATTTACATGAAAAGTATTTACAGTCATATGCTGGTCAGAAGTTATTCTCTAGGACTACTAAATATGGGCTAATAATACTACAGCCCTAATTTAGGTTTATGAAAAGAGAAACACTAGGGATTTAAAAAGGAGGCTTTATATTTTTATAAGAGCTAATAAAAATGCAGAAAAAAAATTGTTTGCATTTTTTGATCCATTAAAATATGACAGGAAAGCTTATCAACATTTTTAAATGGTGAGAATTTCTACCAGCTTTGCTGTATGGTAAAAGTATTTAAATACAGGTGTGTTTTCTTCCACATCTGAAATTCCAATTTTATGGGTCAAAACTCACGGTTCTCTTGGCATTTCTAATGACAATTATTTGCAGGGTTTGGGGGCTATGGTAATATTAATCTATTTTTATCAAACAATGATAATTCAAACTATACTTTTTAACCAGGCTTTCTTAAAGGAGAAGGCAACAAGCCACAAATGTGCATAGGACCCGTTAGATGTCCTGCTTACTACAAGCATTTAAGTTTATTCCATCTTAGGCCTTTCCAGAGATAGAAGCCTCCCTTTGCTGTATTTCTTGAGTAGGTTATACAGGTACAATCCTGCAGGGATAACTTTTCACTCTTGGGAAGAGCAGAAACAAGATGTGTGTTGGCAGATGAAGAGGCCCTCACCACCGTGCCAGGGCATTAGGAAATTGCCAGAAACCTGTTCTTAGAGTAAATGTCCTTCCTCATCAGATGCCAGGGAAGTTCTCCTTCAGATCCTGATTAGCGAGATAGGTGCCCACTAGGAAACTTACTGACAGAGTTAGGATGACATTTATTACCTTAATTTTAAGATGCTACATCCACAGGTTTGTTAAAACTATGTTTAGGGAGGGCTGCAAGGTAGCCACTGGGGATAGTTATGGGTATACAACTGCTTGGAGCATCAAGTGTTTCTGCAAACTGTCTCCTTCACAAATTCTTATTCCTAAAGGAAGAAATGTATGCAAAGGGCAGGCATATACATGAACCACTGGCTGGAATAGGTGAGGAATCTTGCTAATTATACAGATGTTCCAGCTGCAAGATTAGATGCAATTTTACTGCGTCATATTCACCACAGGAACACTTTTTTTAATGAGTGTTCATGCATATTCACCCTTTACATACATTTTGGCACAGGCAATGGCGAGTTTTGAACAGTTTGTCCTGAAAAAATATTCCTGTTGGTTTGGATTGACCAAAGGTAAAAATGTTGTCCCTAACATTTGTAAAAATATTTGCTCTTTTTCTGCATTTTTCCACTGACATTTTCCAGCCGGCTCTGTCACAGACCAGTCATCCAAGTCAGTGTGTCATTGGGCAAGTGGAGAAAGAAAACAAACTCTCTCCAATGTTGATCAAAAAACACCCATTCACTTTGATGCTTCCTTGGCTGTTTGTCTCATCCTGAGCAGGCTGGAAAGTCAGACCCATCTGACGTTGTTAGCAACAAGAGCAAAACAAAGCCAAACCCTCTCCCCCACGCAGGCAAGAAAACCTTTGCTCGCATTTGGCTTTGTAGATTCCTCTCCCTAGAGCACAGCAGGTACAATGGCCAACAAAAAAAACAAATGGTTTTCCCTCTCCCTGTGCTCTTATGATGATACAAGAGCAGTGGGATCTCCTAGGAGATTGCTGGAATTGCCTTTCGGGATCTGAAATACCAGGTATTCTCCTGGCCTGTGCCCCCCCTTAAGTCTCCTCTTTAAGTGCACCAAGGCGCAGAAGCTCAATGCCAGGCTCCCCAGGGGCAGCTACAGCATCGCCTCTCCTTCATAACACAGCAACGCACAGCAGAGATCGGGACAGCTTCTAGGGCCACAAAATCTGCATGGGGTGCAGCTGAAAAGCCCAAGCTGAGGCTGGCTGGAGATTTTTTCCTTTGAGGGTGAAGAGACCATTGGATATGCTGAAGGCTTGATTTTCAGTTAAGCCTCTCATGAGCCTCCAGTTTGGAGGGTGTGATGGTGTGCCCTCAGTTCAAATAAACCATGAGTACGAGCAGTTCAAGAATTAATGACTTACTTTACAAGTTCAGACAGGTTAGCAGGTATCTAACCAGCAACATCTCTTGTCTGCAATTCATTGTTGGTGAAAAATACAGGCATAAGTCTTTCCAGACAAACAGCAGCACCCACAGCAGACTATTTCTGAAATCCTGCCCCTCGATAGTACCGACATTTGAACACAGGGTGGAAGCTCTTCTCCATCCGCCTGCTCAGTCGTGGGCAGACAGACGGCTAACAGCCCTGGCGGTACAAACGAGAGCCCAGCTCCGTCCTTAGTAGCAGATGGGATGCCACTCTGGACTTTGGCTAATAGAAATTATATCTCTGTCAAACTGAAGATAATATTACAGGTGTTTATAGGAAACCAGACTAAATCATCAAATATTCTTTCTGGCCTTTCCAAATCTATGAATTCATTGCAAGGCAAGCTTTTCAAACTGGCAACATCTCCTTTATAAAAAGGCATGTACAGCATTCTTTAGGCACAAAGCATCAGTTATTCACTTTAAGCCAACAAGTACATTCATGAACAAAAGTGTTCCTAATATCATAAACACTGTGAAAACAGTTGATGTTTTGACTAATAGAACATGTCTCAAAGCTTTCGTATGCATAACTTAAAGTCCAGTGACTCATGTCCAACTTCTGTTTGGTCTTCATGGTTCACTCACCCAAAAGCCTGGGAGAGAGTTTTATAAAGCCAGCGACTGGCTTGAGAAGGGTGCTGAGCAGCAGGACATCAAGTCCCTGTTTGTGGTCACAAACCCTGCTAGCGGGAACTAAAGTTTGTCATCAGGGAGCCGGGTGCTGCTCAAGCCTCAGTCTCCTCCCTCCTGGGTGCTGCGGGAAAGCAAAGCAGATTCCAGTGCTAGGGAGCACACATCACACGGCACAAGGCTTCCTACAAGGTGTTCAAGGTCATTGATCTCGGGCAGCTATGCAGGGAACATGTCGAAATAAAGCTTATGGATATGAGCCTGAGAAAAATGAACTTTGATGCTTTTACAGTGGAATCATGAAATAGTTTGTGAACTACTTTGCAAAAGAAATATCTAATTACCCTCAGACTCTCCACTATTGTTGTAAGCAATGGCCAAAGCAAGAATTTCAAAGGGACTTAAGTGCTGAAGAGGCATGCAGATACGTAGTGGGATTTCTAACAGCAGCTAAGCAGTTTGGATACCTAACTCCTATTGCAATTGATAGGAACTTGTGTATTTTCAAAAAGTACCCATGCAGTTCTGGGGCAGATTATCAGTCGGGGCATCGTCCTCAATTTATTAACCTGAAGCTGCAGAAAAAAAGGCAGACTGTATAGCTCCCCTCAACATCAGAGCTCGATCCTGCCCATCTGTCTGCACCTTCAGAAGCTAGAATACCTCATATCCCAGAGTCGCATCTCAGATTTCATTGGACCCAGCACTTGCACTGTGGAGTAAATCCCAACCCCTTTGAAGTCGATGGGAGTTTTGTTACTGGAGAGAATAAAGCCAGGTACTTGACCAGCCTTTGGTAATTGAAATGTAGTTGCTACATGTTCACTTTGTGGCCATTATGGATTTCACAGGCTTCAAAGGCAGTGAATGATTTGAATGCTCATGTTACCAGCCCTACAGAAAAATAAGATCTTGCACGATGCATTCCTGGGTTTGACTTGCAGCTGGAACGCTTTAGTTTGTGCTTCAAACTACACCACTTCTGCACCCAGATCAAACCTAATCCCCTCTCCAGACCCCTTTCTCCCATTCATTGGAGTCTGTTTCCATGTTGTGGGTTGAAACATGTAATTCTAGTAACTAAGAAAGGCTTAGGCCCACCCAACCCGCGAAGCAGATGTGCCTTCTTTTTGGAGCTTTTTTAAGTACCAGTGTGATCGTTCTAGGGATGGTGCAGCAAAGAAGGGTATAGTTTGTTTTAACGTGGTGCCCCAGCACCATGACGGTATCTGCAAGTACTAACAACATCTAGAAAGGTGCTGACAATAGCTTTGAATTTTTTTTTTTTTGTGACTTACCTGCAAGTCAGTTGATAACTGTACTCATCTCTTAGCAAGTAGCAAGGGAACTTCAGCATGGAAAGCCTGTAGCTCTCCAAGAACAGAGCTGCATGTAGTTATCTCTTTCAGACCATTCCTAAAAGCCACTGCGCCTGCAAAACCTCTGACAAATCTTGAACTCACTTAGCAAGGCACAACTCT